GGGGAAACTGATGATATTGTGAATTCAACTGTCTTTATAATTCATTAGCCCATACATTTAAATTTTGTGTTTCATTCCCAGAAACATCAGCTTTACAGTTAAATAAATAAAATGAGAACTTACTTTATTTAGCGCTTTGATGAGAGTTTTTAAATTCTCAGACCATGACTTGAGCTGAAATTTGAGACCTGAGTTTGCCATTTCTCTTCATAAATTCTTAAGGGCACTGAAAACATTCCATTCAACACCAGAATCCTTATAGTCAACATTACCACCAAAGTGCAGCAGCCACTTGGGCTTTCAAGGTACATGCTTCAATTGACACTTCATCTCAATAAACATGGTGATAACTTGATGAATTGTGAAGTTACTGCATGCCAAGAATTACTATCCATTTCCCATTGGCAAAGAGCTCAGCACTTGACTCAAGATTAAAAGCATAACAAAACCAATTCTAAATTACCATCTTTATGAGTATTCTAATGATCTGATGCATAGATTTATGCACCTTGAAAGGAAATTAATGAGAAGGTGGATGGGACTGGGTGAGACGGGCCAGACACTCCCTAGAGCCAACCTCCCATAGTCCTTCCCTGGCCAGCTGCACTTGGGTGGCTCGAAGGGCATCTGTGGAATGAGTAGGGTCCCTCTGGCAGGTGGGTTCCCTTGTCCTGGCCTGTGGGGACATACCTCAAAGAGTCCCAGAGTGCAAGAGGGCACCCTGCCAAGTTGCTGTCGTACAGGGTGTGGCATGCAAATGTAAGTGTGCAGTAAACCAGATTCAGGCTGACAGTGCCCTAACAATAACATAACCTACAGCCGATGGTGAAATCATGTGGCCCCACAAGGAATTAATTCCCTCCTCTCTGGTTTCAGGGTAAGTCACCCAAGAACTTCTGCTGCCAAGTCATTGCAGCTTGGCAGCTCCTACATTGGACATCTGCCCCCTGGTGGTAAGTGCACATCATAACTACCGGTAGGATGGACACTTAGCATATTAGCCTTTTATACATATAGATATGTATGAGACTAAACCCTGATACCAATTCCATAATAGTCTGAATCCAGTCAGGAGAGAGAAACCACACAGTAATTTGAACAAGGACAATTTGCTATAAAAAATTATTAACTATAACAGAGGATTAAAGTATCAAGGAATTAGCTAGTAAGAAGTAAAGACAATGTCAAAGAATATAGAAATATCTAGCCTAAGAAACAACCACTTCCCCTAGGACTGAGATGGAAACTCAAGGGCTAAAATCCAGACCTAGTTGAAGAGGATATAACAAACTTTTGGCAAATTAAATCTAGTAACATATACAAAAGATAATCATTTTGTGCCGGGACCGGTTTGGCTCAATGGATAGAGCGTCGGCTTGGGGACTGAAGGGCCCCGGGTTCGATTCCAGTCAAGGGCATGTACCTTGGTTGCGGGCATATCCCCAGTAGGGGATGTGCAGGAGGCAGCTGATCGATGACTCTCTCTCATCGATGTTTCTAACTCTCTCTCTCCCTTCCTCTCTGTACAAAAATCAATAAAATATATTAAAAAAAAGATAATTTTGTAATAAGGGTTTACTCCAGGAATGCAAGGTTGGTTAAATATTTAAAAAAATAAAATAATGCAATATATAATATTAATAAAATAAATAAGAAAAATTATATAACTGTCTCAAAAGACACAGGGGGGGGAAACTTGATAAATTTCAAAAACCAATTGAAGATAAAATTTATTAACCAGCTAAGAATAAAAGATAACATCATCAAAATAATAAGAGGCATATACAAAAAACTTAGTTAACATATTTAATTGAGAAAGGCTAAATTATTTCTACCTAAAATAAGAAAGAAAAACAACTTCTCTTTTCAAATATCTATTCAACGTTGTATTAGAGGTCTTAACCAATGTAACAGAACATACAGATTGGAAAGAAAGAAATAAAACTGTCCTGACTCACAGGTCACATGATCATGTTTGTAAAACATCCTAAGAAAACAAGTTGCCGAAACCGGTTTGGCTCAGCGGTAGAGCGTCGGTCTGCGGACTGAAAGGTCCCAGGTTCGATTCCGGCCAAGGGCATGTACGTTGGTTGCGGGGAGGGGTGTGCAAGAGGCCGCTTGTCGATGTTTCTCTCTCATCGACGTTTCTAGCTCTCTATCTCTCTCCCTTCCTCTCTGTAAAAAATCAATAAAATATATTAAAAAAAAAAAAGAAAAGAAAAGTTAATTTACCCACATTGAAGGATACAAAACCTAGATAAGAAAAGAGACATACCATGATCAGGCATGAAAACACTCAATATTGTTAAAATGTCAATTTTATGCAAATCTACAGAATCAAAGAAACCTTAATTAAAATCCCAATAAGTTTTTATAGAAATCAACATGTGGAAAAGGCAAAGTATCTATAACAGCAAAAACAACGTTTTATAAAAAACAAAGTCAAAAGAATACCTGATTTCAATAAATGTAGTAAAGCCACAGTAACCAGTACAATATAATATTTGCATAAATAGATAGAACAGAATACAAAGGTTATAAAGAGACAGAAAAAGACCAGAATTTCAACAAAAGTGCCAAAATAATTCAATGGGATAAAATACAGTCTTTTCAATAATGTTGGAATAAGATTTTATATGGAAAAAAAATAAATTGTGATCCTTTCCATACACACACAAAAAAATTTTCATTCAAAATGAATCAGAGACCTAAACATAAGGGCTAAACTATAAAACTCCTACAAGAAAACAAAATAGAAAATCTTCATGACATTGACTTACACAATACTTTTAAAAATAGAAACCAAAAAGAACAAACCATTTAAAAATGAACAAACTGGACTTCAATAGAACTGAACCCTTTTTTTCATTCAATAAGATCAGGTAAGAAAATGAAAAGACAAACCACAAAATGAAAAGGCAAACCACAAATTGAGGGAAAAGGGGAGGGAGAGAGGCAGACAGGCAAGCAATCACGCATGGCCTGCAGCCTGATCATAAAGGAACATCAAACATACCCAGGCTGAAGTTCAACATAAGGAATAAAAAACCCATATACTTTAAGACTTGCATGGTCACAATATATGTAAGGGGGCTTGAGGGAATGAGAACGTGTTACAGATTAAAGAAGACATCCAAATTATGACAACTGAATGCAACATGTATTCCTGGATAGAATTTTGGGTGGAAAAGGAAAAGGAGACTATTCAAACAGTTGGCAACATCTGAGTGAGATAATCAGTTCATAGTTTAATGGTAGTGTGCACTGACACAGTCTTGACTGGGTGGGTGAATGGCAGTTATATAGGAAAGTGTCCTCACTTTGAGAAGATGTACACTGAGTGTTTAGCAGTAATGAGGCACCATGTCTGAAAAAAAAATCTATATGTTCAGGGAAAGAAAAGGTGAAGGAACAGCATATGTGGTAGATGTAAACTACTAGAGAAATTGGGCGAAGGGGACTCGGAATTCTTTGCACCCTTTCCATAGGTTTGAAATTATTTCAAAATTGTTTAAAACATAACAATAAATATATCAACTGATGAATACATAAGTGAATAGATATGCCATTTTTATGAATGCAAGACTCAATGTTATACCTAAGCTGAGCCAATGGCCTGTATAGTCAGTTAATAAATAGTAGAGCTAAACATTCACTGAAACCACTTGTTTAAGAAGCTTCAGTGGCTCCTCATCACCCACAAAATAAGGAGGCTATATTAAGTGAGAAGAAGCCTACAAAGCACCTCACTAATTGCCCAGTACACTAGTGGAAAGGAAACATCTTCTAGTATCCTTTCAAAATTCTCACTCAGTATTTAAAGACCTTCATAATATGGCTACAATTTGTATTTTCCTTCCATTTATTTATTTTTGTATTCAATAAATATTATTGTGTGTCTTTACTGCCTCAGTCACTATATTAGTTCTGGGGCAGGGGTTGAGACAATAAAGAAAATAAGTATAATTATCTTTTTTGGTGCTTGGGTGAAACTATTATCCAGCCAAATCGGGCACTCACCATTCTGAAACAAGGCTTTCCTGTATCTGAGTATTTATTCATCAAAACATCACATTCATTCATTCATTCATTCATTAAATATTCCTTAATTACATTCCCAGCTATCAGAACTCTACCTGTTTATCAAGGTTTAATTCAAATGCCTATTCCTTATAGAGAAACTTCTTTGATGGTATCAAGAAAAAAAATCTAATGACTATTTATTTGCTCCTCTCATATGATTCTAATCACATTTAGACATTTTTATTACAACATAGCATTTTATTACAACATAGCTTATTTCAACATAGCATTTTAGAACAAAAAAAAATACCACGTTTAGCACACTCCAAGGACATCAGGGGATACAGACTACTAAAGAATGTAGGTGCAAAGGCGGTGTTGAGGGCCATGGCCACATAGGGAAAGCATACCCTTCTAAAGGCATTCAAATCCACATTCTTCTTCAAACTGTGTGGGCAAAGATAAATACCTTTGAGTTGCAGTTGGTTCTCTCATATAGATTGTTTGAATCCTGACTCGACCTCCTGTATCCACACATGAGGAAATAAGATCCAGGAAGGAAATGGCTTAGCCCACGTGTCTCAAAATTGTGTTCAGAAGCAGAAACAACCTGGCAGTCACAGGTCTTGTTTGCAACTTTAATCCCCCAAGTAACTCAACCCTGAGCTTCTCAGAGTTGGTGACCAAACAACAGTAATGACTCAACATTACTCTCTCCAGGTGGCTCTCTGGAGGCCAGACCCCTATCACCCGCACTGTGAGAGGTAACTGTGCCAATAAGGCGTTTGAGGACAGGAGCCCAGACCCATGGTGGCAGCCCAATTAGCCAGCTTTTATCCTAGTCATCCCTTTCAATGTTAGAGAGGACTAGCTGCCTCAAACTGGACCACCTGGCCCCTCTCCTGCCTCCTCCACTTGGACAACACTGAGCGCCCCCTACTGCCCCCTCCCTCCCCCGGCCCCCAGCCCAGGCTCACCCTGAGACAGCATCAGCATGTAGACGAAAAACAGTAAGCAGTGGATGTTATTAAAACGCTGGCAATAGGTAACACCTATACAGCTCAAGCCACAGTATTCCTCCCCAGTTTCTTCCGGCTTCTTGGTCATGGGGGCTACGGCCCTAGCCTTGCTTCTTTTCCGTTTTTGGAAATTGTGGAACTTGATCAAGCTGTTTGAAACAACACCCACATGCCAGGCTTTTCCCGCTGTGCTGTCTGCGGGCTCAGCAGGCAGGACCTGAGACTGCACGGCCTGGGGCTCCTCTTCCTCGGTCTGTGGGCTGAGGCCGGGGCGCTGCCGCTGGGGCTGGGCGGCCGCCTTCGGGCTGGGCGGCCTGTGGCTCCCCATGGCCCAGCGCCCGCTCCGCCCGCTCCAACTGACCGCCCGCGGGCGTGGACGCCAGGGAACCGGCGCCTGCCCGAGGGAGGGGGGGGGGTACGTTCTTTCTTGGCGGGAGGCAAACGTCCCTGCCAGAGCTCCGTTGACAGTTGCCCTGAGAAACCATCCAAGGTTATTTCCTCTTGGCTTCCACGTGGGAGAGGGGCAGAGAGAAAGATTTTTTTTTTTAACGACTGGACCCTGATAGCTAACAGAGACAGGACACTCCAGTAACTCTAATAGAAGTGTTTTTAGAAAGTAAGGAAAGAGAAATGTGCAGTGATGGGACAGAGGAACTGTCCCCCAACACCCCTCCTCGCCTCCCACCCGAGATTTCTTGTACTGTGGTGTTTTTCCAATGGAATAATCTCTCTAGAAAGGAAGGGACTAAAAATTGTTGGAGGAGAAATCAGAAGACGTGAAAAAAAACACTTCTACCACATTTGGAGAAACCAGCAAAGATCATAAAACAGTGTCCCAGTGAATGCTCCTAAGTAATTTTACACATACTAATTATTGTAAAATTAATAATTTTACACACAAAAATTATTGTCCTAGAAACTCTATTTCTAGCCAAGAAGAGAAAGGATTATTATTTTCCTCCGTAAATAAGGGGATGAGACCTCGAGTGTAATTTACTTTCCCAGGTGCAAACATCTTAACTGAAAATAAAGACGGTAGGAGAACAGTTACAGGACATGAAATGTTTATATGAAGATGAAACTTCTAACTGGTTTTCTTTTCTTCAGCAAAGGCAAAGTATGTTATTCAGGCCATGTATGTGGGAAGGGTGACTTCCCAGGAAAACTGAAACTATTTCCCTCCCATGGATACCATGTTAAAAAAATAATTAAACTTTAAAAAAAAAAAATTCAGCTCTTCAACAAGTTTTTGTGCTGCTAGAAAGTGCTGGAGCTGGTTAACTGAGGGTGTGTGTGTGTGGGGGGGGGAGCGGGTAAAGGAGAGGGAGGGCAGAAATCACTAAGAAGAGCTAGGCAGAAGGGTTCCACAGATCCCACCCCTGACCTGAGGCCTGAACTTGCCTCAACAGAGCTCTGTGCCCAACAGTGAGTGAAAATGTAATCCCACCTATACTAAGAGACCTGGTCTGTCAAATATTGGCCACTACATAAGAAGAAACAATGCCTTAATTTTCATCTGCCTTTCCTACTTAGCTAGGATGCCCTCCGTGTCACTTCATAACATCAATAAGCATAAAGGAAACAGGATTCCTTGGAGGTCGAAAAGTAGGGGCACTCTTATTCTTGTGCTTTGGTACCAGACTGGGCACAGTCTGAGAGCAGAGGGGGAAAGCCTCTTTTGTTCAAAATAAATGGTATTGGGATTTTTGCTTCCACTCAGAACATAGAGAGCCACGTAGAATGTCACCCCCACGCTAACAAACATAATCAAAAAGAAAAGGAAAAAAAGCTGAGTAATATAAAATACTGTCACCTTTTCTGCCCATAGAAGAGCTATATTCCCAAAGCAACAAGGTAAATTGATTCCAGAGGCTAACAAACCCCTCAGAAAAAGGATGGGACACATGAACACTTTCACCTTTGGCAGAGAATGGGAGGAGGTAGCAATTATAAACACAGACATTAGGGCGGGGACGGCTTGTGCTTGGGGTATGGGTGGCGACAGGAGGCTCATGTAATACTTTTAGACAATAAAGAATTTTTAAAAAAATTATATATATATGAAGGAAACTACTGAAATTGTAATGAATTCTTAAAGGCACAGTGAGGTCTAGCATATGGTTTAGAAACCCTAGAAACATCAGAAACAAGGGGAATCTTTGCCATTTGACAGGGCAAGAACCCCTCCTTAATAAAGAATGCATTTGGTGCCCTGGCCGTGCACGATAGCTCAGTTGGATGAGTGTTGTCCTGTGCACCAAAAAGCCCCCAGTTGATCCCAGGTCAAGAGGCTTACCCAGGTTTTGAGTTCAATCCCGAGTTGGAGTGTGTACCCGAGGCAACTGAACTATGTTTCTTTTTCACATTGACTTGTCTCCCTCTCCCTTCCTCTCTCACCAAAATAAAAATAAAAATCATGTTCTTGGGTGAGTAGTAAAAAGAAAATAAATCCAAGAATTCTCACCATTATATTCCTAATATTTCCAAGCTATAAAGATAATTGAATGTAGAATGAAGCTGTTTACATGTAAATATTTCACTTTAATAACTCAATGAAATTCTGTTCTTGCACATAGGAGAGTACATAATTTTCCCTAGTCTAGTATATTAAAATTTTTAAACACACCTACAATAAAATATATTTTACACTGTGATTCAGTACACAGATATACAGTACTAATGTATATGTTTGTATCTTTATGTGCGTGTGTGTGTGTGTGTGTGTGTGTGTGTGTGTGTGATTGAAACACACACACTTACTGTAACAATAACTAGCCAGTGTTACTTTATAGATAATTATTAGTTAAAAACTTACAACAAATGAAATCATAAATGAAAAGCACAAGCCTAGAATATTTTTATTTCTGTAAGGGTTTCTTAATCAAATGATTCAACAAACTAATTGATGCTCTGTAGATTTGAAACTACTGCAACTCAGTATTAGACACAATTCCCCTTTAGGTTTTAGGTTATGACAACTAAGTTAGTATTTTTAAATCGTAATTTTTAAACTCATAGTGTTTTCTTTGCCTATTTTATTAAAAAACTAGGGCCCAGTGCACAAATTTTTGCACCTTGAACTGTGGGCTGTGAGGCTGTGGTGGGCACAGGGGTGGGTCTCGGCCCACCTCCCCACCCCAACCCAGCCCCTCCTGCAGCAGCCCCCTCCTGCCTCTGCTCCTATGAGCTAATGGTGCTGGCCTCGCTTGTACCCACTGACAGCACTCAGTGATTGGGGCTGGCACCAGCAGCAGGTGTGAGCAGAGATAGCGCCACCATCAGTGGGTGCCATCAGTGGCTTCTGCCCCAATTGCCCCTCAGGAGCAGCGGGAGATGGAGAAGCCCTCAGGAGTGATCGGGGCTGGCAGCTGCTGCTTGCACCTGTTGACTGCACCAAGCAATCATGACCAGTTCCAGGAGCTGGCAGTGTGTATGAGAGGTGACTGCCAGCCCCAATCACTCCTCAGGAGCAGGGGGAGGTGGAGAAGCCCTGAGGGACCATCAGGGATGGCAGCTGCTGCTCCCACCCGCTGATGGCATCAAGCGATCAGGGCTGTGGCTGGCACTGGACACCAGCAGCAAATATGAGAAGCAGCACCAGAGCCAGCAGCAGGTGCGAGTACTGGGCGGGACAGTGGTGCATGGGAGCAAAGGATTTTCAATAATCAACAGAGGCTTGCCTCAATGACATTGAACGGCACTCTGCACGGCACCCCACCTTGGTCTGCCATCCTCCCCCCTCCCCTCTTCCCCCCCCCCTCACCTGCTCCACCATCCCATCACAGCCAATGCCCACCATGTTCCATGCTCTGTTGCCTGCTGCCAATGCCCTCCATGTTCTGCAAGTTCCGGTGGTCAGCGGATATCATAGCAACTGGTTGTTTGCTTGTTCCTCCATTTAGTCTATTTGCAAATTAGCCTTTTATTATATAGGATTATTCATTTTTAATTTCCTATCTCTCAAAGTTTTTGCCAGTGTTGTTCTTGGCAGGTAGACAGAACTTTATTAAACATCTAGTGGGAATAAGTGAATAATTATAAGGTGCTGAGAGGAAATTTAATATGTTGGAGAAACACTTCAAATATTTGTTGATACATTATTAGTGTAAATATTAGCTGTGGTGACAAAACTAAAGTATTATGGAAATAATGCAGGCTCTCTGATGTCAAGAAAGGCTTCTAGCACAGTGCAAGTGGCAGGACAGATGTTTAATAAATCACAATTTTGTTATGAGGCAATCAGATATATTTTAATATTCAACTTTTTAAACAGTTAAAAGTTAATTCTCCTGCTCTTCAAATTCCCTGCAGTGCTATATTATTTTCTTTCCTTTACCTCTTTCCTCAGAAAGTAATAATAACTGGCCAATGAGTGTAGAGATGGTTAGTAGTTGAGAACTTATACAAAATAAATAGTAAGTGGGAGCTCATTTTTGACAAACATTACTGGTGAAATACTGACTGCCAATTTGGCCTTTGATTTCATCCTTTCTTGGTCCCTTGCATGTATTGGGAATGATATTTACTAATGAATATTAATGATATATTAAATATTTTGTTGGCTCATAATGGATTGGGACCTTATAAACCTTAGTAAATTTCCAACAGTTCTACAGTCTCCTTTAGTTCACCAGATAAACCATAAATGTTATACATAACCTTGATTTCATATTTAAAATATTTTTGATGCTTATAAAAATCTCAAAATCAGGTCACATTCCAGATCAATTAATTCAGAATCTCTGGTTTGTGAGATCCAAGAATTATGATTTTTTAAATTTTTTAAATTCCCCAAGATGCTGCCAAGTTTCCCCTTCCTCTTTTCTTCCCTTTCTTCTTCCCTCTGCCTTTGCAGGATAATGTTTCATTTGGCAATAATAATCCTTAGAGGGTGCTCTAGCAATTAAGCTCTAGAAGATCCAGAAAAATTCAATGGCTATGCAGATTTCTTTCAGAGATGTTAAATTTATCTTTATTATATAGAAATTCCCAGATAGATATTTTGTTAAGGAGCTTTTCCCATTCTATCTCTAGCAAAAGGAATAACATAGATATAGGCTAGTCACAGAAGTGAATTCTTCAAAAGAACAATTTAAAATTAAAAAAATATATATTTTCATTGATTTCAGAGAGGAAGGGAAAGGGAGAGATAGAAACATCAGCGATGAGAGAGAATCATTTATTATAATAGTTGCCTCCTACACACCTCAAAATGGGGAATGAGCCCACAATCCAGGCATGTACCTTGACTGGGAATTGAAACATGATCTCTGGCTCATAGGTTGACAACCACTGAGCCATGCTGGCTGGGCTAAACTAAAATTTAAACACAAATATCTCATTCTTGGTTCAATG